ACTGGGGAAAAGTATTGACCTTACCCTGTCCAGTTGTACTTTGAGGAACTGCATGAAGGATGAGGGTTGTCCATAAACTCTGGAAAATTAGACATTAAAAAAACCTCATATTTATCATTGAATTGCTCACCTTGATAATTAAAGTACTGTATACATGCAGATCAATTATTTTTGTGATCCTTAGGTAATGGCCTTGCTTGTCAAAGATTCCTTCTTATTCCAGCTTTTATCTCTTTTCTTCTATATCTAATAGAGACTGTACAATTAGAAAAGCTAATAATATTAAACAATAACCCTATTGATGCAAAAACAACTAGGATTTGGGAGAGGGAGTGTATTATACCAGAAGGTTGGGGAGAAAAAAATCCTAGTAAAGTTGCTGAATAAATTCAGGCAAATCTTTCCCATCACTAAAAGAAACTTATACCAGCAGAAGCTTCTCAAAGGACTGTAGCAGTGAGCTAGGTTGAAATAATACATGATGAAATTGTCAATTATGAACATTGTTAGTATTTTTCATAGCATGCCTTAACTGGCTGCCACCAAAAATAGCACTCCTGCTTGCTAATAAGGACTTGAGCTATAAAAATCTGGGTGACCACTAGAAGACAGTAAAGAGATAAAGAAAACTTTGCTTGCTGCCATCTGGTGACTACTGAGATTTCTGCCGCCTAGATCTAAGAGCCCTAATTTAAGCACAGACTGAAAAGAGGAAGATAGCTAGAGGAAACAGAGGTTTTGAGCTAAATAGGGGAGTGTTCAAATTTTACTTTTACCTTATAAGGACATCAATTCCCTTCTTTGATTAGGTGAGCTTTGGAAGATGTAATCATTGCCTCACTCCAGTCACAGATGTAGGCCTGGAGGTCACCTGAAGGTCAAGTCTTCAGCAACCTCCTCCTCTGCACAGAGATTTCTAGGATCTAAATTAGTTTTCCTTAAATCTTGGATTACAACTCCCATCATTCCCAACACTCATGGCTGGAAACTGGTATTGGTTTCAAAGCATATTTACAGGTCAACAAGTACATTCATGTTACTTTTTCTAATTCTGACATAAATTGCAGATAATTCATGATATGATGAAGAAGGAAGATTATGTCAAGATTGCCACGTTCAATATTGTGTCTCATATGCCTTAGCCTACTTGCTCAGGTTTCACAACCTGTGGAGCAGCATGAAGAAATGATGCATCCCTGCAGTAATTTTGGTTTCTAGTTTCAACTTTCCATTCCAAGAAGAAAACAAAGATTAATACTATTATCACTCAGTAATATTACATCGTTCAGAATGGCTGCAACGACCCTGCTATTAGGACTGTAAATCAGCATCAACTAACTTTAACCAACTGATAAAAGAAAAAAAAATCACCCCTCAGTATGTAAATATATAAGATGGTAAATCAAATAGTGGCACCAACTAATCATGGAAAAGATCAAGCAAACTACTACTATTGTATCTCACAAAAAATACTGATATTTGCATAGAAATGGGACTAGCCCTAAAGCTGAGGCACAATGCAATTGCCTCACATAATGCTCAGCATCTTTCTTTCAGACGCTAAGCATGAATGATGGCATGGCCTAGTATAAGAATTACTGGGGATTCCCTGAAGAAGTTTCATGTGTAGCTAACATAATAAGATAACATGCATTTATCTAAGACATAATTTGCTGATTCTCTTCACACAAATACTTAGCCTGTTAAATTAACCACCTGTGCTATATTTATACAAGTAAAGTTAGTTCAGGAGCCTACAACTAAAATACTTTTTTCTTTTTGGAACAGAAATTGGAAATCTATGACACAAGTAGTCCTCGCCTTACAACCATTTGTAACCCGGCGACCATTCAAGATTACAACAGCGCTGGGAGAATTGATTTATGACCAGTCCTCATATTTATGACTTCTGCAGCATCCCTGCAGTCATGTGATCAATAATCTAGATGCTAGGCAACCAGTTCATACTTAAAGACAATTGCAGCAGTCTAGTCACATGATCACTATTTGTGACCTTCCCAGCTAGCTTTCAACAAGCAACAAGTCAATGAGAAGCCAGTAAGAGGATGCAAGTTGCAGGCACATGATGTCTTGCATAACAACCAGGTGATTTACTTAACCACAGCAAAAAAAGTCACAAATTAGGTTGTGATTATATGAGCCTCATTTAAAAACTGTACTACTTGACTGTACTGTACTTCTGGTTCTTATTGTGGTTGTAAATTGAGGACTACGTAATCAGATATGTTGATCTATAGATCACGGGAATCCTTGTGTTGGCCTGGACTAAAAATTTGTACCTGGCAATATTCAGTCATAGGAACAATAAGAACTGATCAAGAATATATTCAGTAAGAATGCTGCAAATAAAAAATATATCTACATTGATATTATGCATTTGATTTAAGGTGGATTGATTTTCTAATTTGCATAGTACAGCAAAGGATAATTTCCTTTTTCACTCTGAAGCTCCATTTGAATTTGACTATACTTAAAGCAACAAGAATGTGATTTGCTCTATTGCTAGCAGTAAGGGGATTATCTAGAATCTAAGAAATCTAGAATCTTATTCTTCCTTGGAAATGAAGTTGTGGCTCTCCTTCAGATTCATTCAAGGGTTTGCGGAATTTACCAGGTTTTTTTTACTACTTTTATGAATTAGAACTGGTGAAAAAAAAACTATCAGTTCTGAGCACAGAATTTAGTCTGAGTAAATAAACTGAACAATTCTTCCACAGACCTACTTAACATCTTCCCCTCCCAGCACATCTTTATTTTAAATTCTTCATTTTGATTCAGTTTGATTTTTCTAGTGCAATTTAAGGCAGGGACAGATTGTTGCTATTAAGTAGTAGTGAAAATGTAAAAATCTGATTTGGTAAACACAGTGAAAACTCTAAGATTTAATTTGTTCATTCTTGGATTTTTTTTGAAGTTTTAAAAATCAGAACCCTGAAAAAGTTTGACGCTTTACCAATAGCTTCACAAGCTAACTGAAAAGTAAATTCCACTCTGCTTTGTGGAGCTGACTGCTCAGTTATCTATAAAAGTTGATTTTTAGTTGACTTACAGAATAATACCCAGCAGGATGGGTGTTAGGCTGATAAAAGGAAGTTGAATTCTCAGGGGCCAAATCAATTTAGGGTAGAAAGTTCAGCTTTCTCCCAATAGGATCTTTCTACTTTCTCTCGCCCTCCACAGGTTCAGAATTTCATTTCATAATCCCACAAACTTGTGATTAATACCAACCCCACTCCAGTGAAAAACACAACTGTAGTATGATTAAGAACGTTATTTCTTTATATAGAGGCATCCCAAAATGCTAAATTACAACCTAAATTACAAACGTTTACAAGCGCAAGGAGTACAGTATTTGCAGTCCGGTGGTTGAGGCTGAGCTGAGGCCTGAGGTTAACAGGATGCTTCCACTCTGCATCCCGTTGCCCCGGGAATGCAGGGAATATCAACTAGGCTTTCACATACACTTCCAGTTGTTCCAAAGATGTTTTTTTTAGGAGGCAGCTGGGCTTTCTTCGGACTTCCAGTTGATTTTTACACTACAGCAGGGGTGGGCAACTGTGGCCCTTTTACAACCTGTGGACTTCAACTCCCAGAATTCCTGAGACAGCCAAGCTGTCTCAGGAATTCTGGGAGTTGAAGTCCACAGGTTGTAAAAGGGCCACAGTTGCCCACCCCTGCACTACAGTGTATCAACTGGGGTCCTCCCAACACGAAGGCCTCTTTCACAATATTATTAAGCAGAGCATCAGCCGGCGAAGTGTAGACCAGACCAAAACTCAGGACTAAGGAGGCAGCCCCCAAAATCGATTTTAAAGTAAAGGAACCCCGTCTTACCGAACGCCGCTTTCTCCTAAGGGATTCTGATCCCCAAGCCCACCCCCGCACGTTGCGGCTGTCGACCGGTTCGTCTTCAGCGTAGCCCGGAAAACCAAAAGCGGACGAGAGAGGAGCAAAAGGGGCGCCTTCTTCCACGTGTGCGGAGAAAGCGCAATCGCCGCGTTTGTAACGGGCGCCAGAAATGAAACTCAGCCTTCCCTGCCCCACTCATTGGTCCTGGCCACGTTACCGGCTGCTTTCAAATCTGACGACAGCTACTTCTTCATTTGTTAAATGAAACAGGAAGCTTTTCTCTGGGGGCTGCGCGCAGCTCTTTTCGCTGGTCCCATTTTCTGAAAACGCATAAAGGCAAGAGTAAAGGTTGCTGTGGTTTCCCCGCCGTTTATTTTTTATTTTTTGGAAGCAATACACGCCAGTTCCGAGAACTTTCATTCACGTGCAGATTTCGAATGTGCTTTGGGAAAGTGGAAGTTGCTGCTTTACGGAACCGTGAGTACGTATTTTTATTTCGTATGAACGCGAGTTTATTCCATGGTTATTACGATGGCTGGTTTCACAGTCTGCCAGATGCTTACACCGGATTTGGCATTGTTTGTCCATCTAGCGAGGCTTTCCCAAGGACCCGAGATAGGCAGATGTTGTTTAATAATATTAAAGCTATCGTGGTAGGATGCAAGCTGTTCCAAGAAAGCTGCCTTTTGCAATTGAGTGATTGCAAGTGATCTTGTCAATGCCTGTGGTGTTACTATTAGTACTACTTTTGCTTTTTTGCACTAGTCGTTCTGCTTCTGCTTGCAGGTGTTTGCATTTTGTGGTTTTCTCCTGTTCTTTCTCTTCTCTTCTGATGCCTCCACTATCCAGGTTTTTTGTCTGTCTTATCCACAATTGTTAAGGCTTGAGTGTTGTGTGGCAGATGTTTGTCTGTTTGAATTGTAAAATCCCAGAGCTCTTCATTTTCTATTACTTGTGGTCAGTGGTGGGATTCAAATAATTTAACAACCGTTCTCTAATTCAAGGATTTTTTCCAACAACCAGTTCACCAAACTGCTCAGAAAGTTAACAACCGGTTCTCCTGAAGTGGTGCGAACTGGCTGAATCCCACTGCTTGTGGTCCTACCAATTCTTGTTTGCAGGCAAGTGATTATTTCCTACAGATAATAATAAAAACTTTATTGTCATTGTACGTGTATATACAGTATCCCCATACAACGAAATTCACTTAACACCCAAAGACCAGGTCCAACACACATAAACAATCCCCAAACACACTCCCACCCATCACAATTACCCACCCCTAAACCACCCAAACATTCACACAACAGACCAAATAATGCTGTCCAATAGTTCACTGATGGTGGCCCTTTAGTTCATTGTTGATTGCAATTATAGCTCCTGGATAAAAACTATTCAGAAAACGTGTGGTCCGAGTTTGTTCTGTATCTTCTGCCAGAAGGCAACAGTCCAAAAAGATTGTAAGCAGGATGGGAAGATAGGCCTGTGCAACATAATTGTGTCATGACATTTGATGTAAACCCTATGTGCCATCTTTTTTGCAGCAGCTATTTGGTGAATTGTTTCTTCAGCTTCTTTGTTTTTGCTCTTCTGTTGCTGTTTTCTTAACTCTGGTTTTGTATGCATTTGTTCTTCCAGCTTGGTCTTGTGCAATCAGAATTGGCCCCTCTATTATTATGGTTGGTATTATATTTTTATCCCACCTTTGTATGAATTTATTTGGTCAACTCAAATCAGCACAATATTCTTGCCGTTTCCCAGACATTTTCCACAAACGTTGATATTTCTTAGTAGCAAATTGAGAATACATACCGTACTTGGTTACAAACTTTTGACATATAGTAGAAAGGCATAATATTGGAAGGGGTGAGAGGGAATCTTGTATGTGCTTCTATAGGTAAATATCACAGACTCACTGGCTGAATTAAAACAGCATGCAAAGCCTCAATATGACTTGTGGCTTAATGCATTGTGAAACCAGTAAGTATGATTTGTAAATTATGTTTTAACATTATCTTGTTTAAACCTGGAAAATTGTTATTAGTTTATTTGATAGATTTATAGGTCATTTTTTTTAAAAAAAATAGGAGCTCAAGGGGAGACATTTAATATTCCATCTCTCAATTTTCCCCACAACAAGCTTGTAGGGTAGGTTGATCTGAGTCATCTAATGAGCCTTTATGATTGTTAGTCAACTGAAATCAGGTCTAGTAACTAATATATAACTCTAGAAATGAAAAAAAAAAACAGATTTGGAAACCATGATTAAATGAATGAAGCCTGAATGAATAAATGTGTATATTGTTGTGCTATCAATTTGTGTACTATCTCGCTTGTAAAAAAATTAGAAATAAATGTTCATTAAACTTATTCTTTGGGCATGCAATAAGAGCTTATATTAATTTGTTATTAGTACTATTAATTCATTTAGGGTAATTAAGCCCTAATAAGGTACAAATAAGGTCACAAAACATATTCACATGACCCTGAGATACTGCAACTGACATAAATACATGCCAGTTGCCAAGCATCCAAATTTTGATCCTGTGATCATGGGGATGCTGTAGTGGTCATAAGTGTGAAAAATGTCACATTTCAGTGTTATTGTAACAATCACTAAATAAATGATTGCAAGTCAAGGACTATCTGTGCAACTCCAGTCCTCTGGGAAGAGCGTTTGTGTTTTATTCCTGTACTAACTAAGGTTTTTGACTCTATGGAATCACATGCATGAGTGATCACCATAAATGTGGCTTTTTTATAGGTGGTGCCCAGCATACAACCATTTAACAACTGTTTGAAGTTACAATGGCACTGAAAAATATGACTTACAACCGGTTCTCACATTTATATTTTTTATTTATTTATTTACTTATTTATTAGATTTATATTGCTGCCTATTCGCCCATGGCAACTCAAGGCGGCTTACAAAATATAAAAAACCACATTTAAAGAACAGTAAAACTCATAAAAAATCAAATAAATTAATGTAATAAAATCACCCCTGACCCCCACCTCCCGCCCCAGTGACAGCCGATCACATGAGCCATTTAATGGGCTCTATCCCGCTCTGGGTTCCCCAGGCCTGCTGGCAGAGCCAGGTCTTCAGCGCCTTCCGGAAGAGAATTAGGGTGGGGGCTGTTCTAATCTCTGGGGGAATGATGTTCCAGAGAGAGGGCTCCAAGGACCATGGAGAAGGCCCTTTTTCTGGGTCCCACCAGGTGTATCTCCCTTGGGAATGGGACCCGCAACATTCCCTCACAGCATTCCTACTGTTGCATGATTAAAATTCAGGCACTTGGCAACCAGCCTGTATTTATGACAGTTGCAGAGTCCTGGGTCATGTAATCGCCATTTGTGATCTTCCCAGTTGGCTTAAAAGGGAGGATGCCACTTAATGACCACATGAATCACTTAACAACCATGGCAAAAAGAGTTCTAACATCAGATGAGATTCACTTAACAACAACCTTGCTTAGCAACAAGCAATTGGCCTCAATTGTGGTCGTAAGTTGAAGACTACTTATATACATCAATCAATGTTGTGTTTGGGTGCCGTGGCAATACACATGAGGTATTGCATGAAGTATTGGAATGTGGAGTTATGCAGCACCATTTTTATATAGTTTTATATAGTTCCTGCTTCAATTTAGCTGATGTTGTGCAATTGTGGTTGGTTGTCTGGAGGCCTTAAAGTTCCAAGACTGCCCATCCTTCTAGATTTAATTATTGCTTTAAAAGTAACTTGTGGTTTCATGTCCCATTAGGACATGTGGCAAATGACATAGTCAAGTACAGATTTGAAGTCTTCCACAAACCAAGTCTTCCATTTGATTTCTGAAACCTTCCAGTTAAAGCATAGCTGTTAAAGACTGCAACTTGAGAACTTGGAGAACTTATACCAATTAAAAATGGATGATATAAAAATAGACCAGCTGTTCCCATTGCAGATGCTCTTTATTTTAAGAATTAAAATTCCTAGATTTCCCCAACCAACATGGCTATTCCTAAAAATGCTGGAAGCTGAAATCCATACAGCTGGTAAATTTAAGATCTGACCCAGTATGAGGCAGTTTTGTATGGTCATTAACTCAGCAACTACATCACAATAACTCTGATCATGGCCATAGATGACTGTTAATAACCACCCAAAGACAACATATATTTGCATGCAATATATTCATTCAGATGTTTAAAAATGACTCCAATTCTCTGAGCTGGCAGTTGAATAGAAAAAAAATGGAGTGAAGTCAGTCACAACCTGGAAAAGTTATCATATTTTGGTCAGATTTTAGCTGCCAGAAATCTCTCTTCTGGGACTAGTGAAAGATCAAATTATTTTATGCGGTATAATTAACCATGCATTGCAGCTTCATTTAATATGTGTCTTTGCTTTGTGTTGGTGAGGGACCAAAGGCTTTAATTCCCAGAAGGCGTTAGAATTTTGGTTATTCTCCCAGGCTTTGGGGGCAAGTCCCTATAATATTTGAATTTGCTTGGTAGTTCTTTTCTGGACAAACATCTCTCTTGTACTCTTGCTTTATTGTTGTAGCTTTTTATAATGTAAAGCACTAAGAGTTGTTGGAACTCAACCTTTTAAAAAATCTATATAAAATCAGGATTTTTGAAGCAAAGGTATGGCTGTGCTATGAAGATGAATTTAAAAGGCGAAAGATTTATACGATCTGAAGAGAAACCAGAGTAAACTTGACAGAGAAAGATATTGAAGGATATCAGAAGAAATTGGATAAATTTTGCAATGGTGGGAAAAGACCTAGATTAGTGAAGAAAATGTGGTATCAAAATCAAAAGGAAGGTGGATTAGGAATCCCCAAACTACTCAATTATTATTGGGCTTATGCTATTCGGACTGTGGTAAAAATATTTAAAGGTGAAGATAGTCATTGGAGAGATTTAGAATTAAAAGACATCAAGAGATTTGGCTCAACATGGTTTTTAGATAAAGCCAAATCAAAATGTGTAATTAATAGCTATTGGTTAAAGGGACTGAGTAAAATTTGGAATAAATTTGTTAAAATTTTAATTCCAGATATAATTTTCTTAGGGAAGACAATTGAAAATTGGCCGATTAAAACTAATATAAGTCGTGATAGGGTAATGGAAGATGAAAATATACAAATTATAATAGATTGGTTAAAAACTTCAGAAAATGAAAGGAGGAAAAAAGAAATCATTGAAAAATTGGGTTTAGGCTGGTTTGAAAAAATACGGATAGAAAAATGGACTAAGAAAGTAAGGGACAATTGTTCGATAAGTAGAAGTAAAACTGAATTTGAACATTTAGTATTCCAAATTATGAAAGATGAAATTAGGCTAAAGGGACTCGTTAGTAAGGTATATAAGATTATAAATTTTGATGGAAAACCACAAAGGGTGATGAAGTTGAATTGGGAAAAAGAACTTAATATTAAAATATCAGATTTAGATTGGAATGTGAATTGGAAGAGTAGAATTATGAAGACTTTATCTATAAGGATTAAAGAGCATAATTATAAGGTTGTTTGGAAATGGTATTTGACTCCATTAAGATTGTCATTGATGGATAACAAAATTAGTAAACAATGTTGGAGATATGATATAGAATTAGGGACTTATGAACATGTGTGGTACAAATGTGATAAAGTTAAAAAGTTTTGGCAACAATTGGAGAAAATGATATTTGAAATGATGGGGAAAGCAATAATATTGAGACCAGAAACTATATTACTGTTGATAATTAAGGAAATAGAACCAACAAAATATGAGAAAGAATTGATTAGAATTATGATTATAACTGGTAGAATTATAATAGCCAGATATTGGAAATTAGATGTGAATTTTAGAATAGAAGAATGGTATTGTGAAATGTGGAAATTAGCTTTAAACGATAAAATGACATGTGATATTAAAATTAGAAATGGTGACTATAAAGAAGATATTTTCTGGAAAATTTGGAAACCATTCGTGGACTATGCGCTGGGAAAATTGGATGCTTCGGTACCTGTACCCCGAGAACGTGGATTTTGGCAATCATGAGCATATATCCGAAGAACCAAATCTTCCTTTCTTATGTATAGCACAGGGTGAAGTATTGTATATGTTGTTTGTAATGTTATTTTAAAAAAAATTAATAAAAAATTAAAAAATTAAAAAAAAAAAAGAAGATGAATTTAAAAGCATTTCATATATAGACTGTCAAGCCCAGCCACAGCTCGACACACATACTGGAGGGGGAGAGGGATAACAATATGTCCCTCAAGTCTACGCTGTCAGGGGTCCAGCTAAGCACTGGGTGCATTAGAGGTGATGGCAGAATACCGATTCATCAGGTGATGGTGGTTATCGACTCGGGACGCGTTTAGGCAAAACGGGATGAGGCAGCAGGGGAGACACAACAGAGAAGGTGGTGGAGGATGATGCGGCAGGAATCAGGAAGTGCTGCAATCTGCCGAAACCAGGATCAGCTGAGACGCGCTATCGGAGGGTGAGGCGCTGCCGGCACGGACTGTTTAAACGGCGCTGAGAGACGGTAGCTCTCAGCGCCAACTTTGCGTGGTTCATACTCGGTTTGTTCTGACACCCATTTGTTGTGGATTAAAGATTGATGACACCTACAGACTGACTTCGTTTGGTGATTCAGCGTATTCCTGCATGAACATGGAGTAGACAGCCGAGATAG